GCATTATCCTAAATCAGAACCTGATACCTACACTTTACCATAGCATCTTGAGTCCCATCCGCAATTGTTAAACAGTTCTGGAATAACAGCTATTTAAGGCACTGCCAAAATAAAAAGAAATGCCAAAATGACACCAAAAAGACAACCAATCTGTAAAAAAATCCACCATGATGCTGGTATTTCTCATGCCAGGTATGGAATGTGCCCTAAATTCCTCTGCTTAATAAAGAGTTTCAGGTGAGCTGGCATGAAATTCAAGTTTCAACTATATGAAACACAAGACAGAGAAACAGCTAAGAATATAATAAATAATAACATCACTTCACTTAGCTGATGGAACTGAAAATTTAAAACCTACTTATGTAAACTGTGCATTTCAGTATTAACTATGAGTCCCTATCTTCAGCAGTGTGAAGGACTGCAGACATCCATTCTGATCATCATCACCTCTTCCAGCCATTAACACCTTCTCTGAAACACTGATACTCGTCAATGAGACCAACAATAATATAGACGTGTGTCTGTTACCAGCTACTATCCAACTATTCACACCAGCTGAGTCAGCTGCCCCTTCAGTGTCGCCATTAATAATAAGAATTCTCCCTTATTCTAATACACAAATACACAATTGCTGTACTCCTCAGTCACTATACCATGGCCCAGGTGATAAATCAGTTTCATCACAATACCAGCACAGGGCCCAACCATGCCATTGTCCTGGTGTGTACAGGGACCAGACACTGCTCCACTGCTCCTCCTACAGGCTGCTCTATCCATGTGCAGGCCTATGGGACACAGAGCATGAGACATACAGTATGATACATACTGTAGATAGATGAAAGATGGGTAGATAGATAGATAGATAGATAGATAGATAGATAGATAGATACTGTAGATAGATAGATGAGTTAGGGTATATACAGTGGTATCAAGGTATCAAATATGCAGCAAGAATATAATATTAATATATAATATGAATGATTGATAGAAAGAAAGATAGCTAGAAAAGAAGACATTCCATCAGATAGATGGAATGAT